CGTGTTTAATATATAAGAATTGACCGATATATTTATTTACCACCAAAATCAGTAGATATCCATTTAATAGTGCAGAATCTACTCTTCCAAAGCTTCAACATCACTCTCTACCCCTCTTTCACTATATATATATATATATATATATATATATATATATATATATATTTTGTTTCAGTATGTCTAAAAGTTTCACATCGCTTAGGAGTCGAGATTAAAGATAGTTTAACATCCTTCTTCCTTAATCGATGAGACACTTTTTAAATGATAAAATCATGACGACCTAACGAGTGCCAAAATGGACAATACTTCGGATGCAGTGACCCTAACGATGATAACGGTAGGAATTTATGCACATTTTCTTAACAATTGTGAATCATTTGTACCTCATCTTAATATATTAAATCATTTATAATATAGTTGAACTATTCTTTTACGTATAAATATGAAAAGTCGTTAGTTCAAGTGATTCAATACTTGTAATCCTTAATTAATGACTAATATTCAATCCCTATTTAGGTATTAGTCGTGATTAGAGGTACCTATTTACCTTTATAGAATTTGACTTAATGAAAATTAGTTATACCTCCTTATTAAAAAAAATAAACTAGTGAAATATTTTGAGAGAATTTCAATTCTCTTATTCTCTCCAAACTACCAAAGTCAACTTAGTAATGATGGAAGTTGTGGTAGTAAGCACAAGATTTAAATTTTAAATATCGTTATCATCTTTAAAATTTCTTATTGATAGACTAATTCTCTTTGTTTTTTTTTTAATTTTAATTTTCAAATCTCAAAATTCTTATAATTTTATGTTATTTTCTATAACACAATCTCTATATGGTTAAATAGTGGTTGACAAAGACTTATTTTATCTTAATTCACTTTTAGCTTGTTGTAAGCATGTTAAGGTGGATTGGCTTGCCCACAAACATAGACTGTTAGATATCTCACATAAATTAGATATAAGGTCACAATAGTATATATAAACAATGAACAATTTTTATTTTTTTTACTTTATAATCCAATTTTGTAAAGTTAAGTTAAATTTTAATTTCACTTTCTTAAGATGGCACTAGAGTCTATCATAGTGAATATTCTTTGAATTATCTAATCACTCCCTATCGGGCCTTATCAGACTATCCATAGATGTTCAATACTGCAAATTTTATGCTCGAAAATTGTCCGGTCCTTAAGACATTGACATGTAGGTGTGTGTTGAAGATTTCATATTAATTAGAGATAAAATTATAATAATCTATACAAATACGAAACAATCTCTACATGATTTTGTAATGGTGAGTTAAGTTTCAATCTCATTTTCTTAGGATGGACCAAAAAAAGAATTATCCTATTTATTGATAGACTAACAATTTAATAGATTGATTGGTCAAAAATAGAATAAAAATAATAAAATTTCTAATATGTTTGAAATAAATAATATGTAATTATTAAAAATTTAAAAAATACAATACAAGAAATATTTTTCACTTTATGTTTAGTTACGAGAAGATTTCGTGAAATAATTTGTGATATATCTTTTTAAAATCTTATCTGATTTGTATTAATAGAGTAAATTTATTTGAACATAGTATACGTTTAAATATAGTAATTATTCTTATTATTAATTACATGTGATCAAATAAATATATTTATATAAAATTCAGGTTATTGATAAAGTCATATCTTATTATTAATATTTTTTATTTATAAATTGAAAAACTTGACAAGCAAGCCAATTCCGGCACTATTGTCATCAACTTGTTTTTAAGCAAGATAAAATTGTGCAGGCTATGACCGCTGATGGGTTAAGACCTCCTAACCTAGATTGTCAAAAATAATGACCAAATAAATGACCAATGATTTAGGGGAAATGGAATGATTATTGATCTACCGATAGGTTTGGTGAATGTTTGTAACCACGTCATTAAATCGCATCCCCAATTCCATGTCTAACAAGTAACAAGGCAAAAATCAGAAGTTACTCCATGTAATTTTATTTATTTATTTATTTATTATATTTGGGTAATGTTTTGATGTCATAGAATCATGGAATACTAAGAAGACACTCGCTCTCACATTCAAATCCTTTCAGAGAATGTTTAGTGAAATAAATTTATTTTCATATTCGAGAAGAGAATCATGATTTTTAAAAATAACTAAAATGTGTCTAATTTATCATACATATATATATTAATAGAAAATTACTGAAATAAATAGACAAATAAAGTTTTAAAATATTTTTTTTTTTTACTGAAAATGGTCAAATTTTATTGAAATAATTTAGTACATATTTACTTTAATTATATAATATAAATATTTTTTTACAATACATAATTATGGTTATTAATTATGTTTAAAAAGGCAAAAGATTATTCGCTACCATAGTATGCATATATATAGTAGCTTCATGAACTTGGCATATATATATATTTTTTTTATAAAATTGCACTACGATCTTATCCTCAAGGCCTTAATTGAGGGTATTTATGATTAAATTAATATATTGAACCCGTAGCTTAAATGAAGGGGAAGATCATAGTAATTCATAAATGTTGCCCTAAGGCCTTAGTAGTTTGTGAGATAGAGACACTCAAATTAGGGATGTGATGTGATTTTGTTCATGGTGCCCCCACCTCTCAAGATTCTCACTCCGTTTTCCCTGTATTTTTCTTTCTTGATTTTCTTTTGTCTATAATACTGTAATTGCTTTTGTTTGTTAGTGTAGTTTCCAGTTGGAGTGGGGCTGGGGAAGAGGGGCTTTAGAGGAGGACATGCGTAAGGTTGTATTTGTGTTGTCGCGTGAATTGACCACGTGATCTGTTATGAACTTTTTTTTCTTCTACTTATTTTTTTTAATCGGCCGTCTTAATATTATTACATATTTAAAATGTTTTATCTTTTATCTTTATTTTTTTTATATATATTTGAAACAATCAAATAATATTTTCATTTGAAATACGACAGCGGCAATCAAGATGTGAATCAATCAAATAATAATTGAATGAATAATATATATATATTTTTGAAGAGTTTGAAATAATATTAGGAAAAATAATGAAGTTGTGTAGAAAAAAGAGAGAATTAGAGGGGTGAAAGTTGGTGGTGAAGGTGGCAAAAGAATCCAATCTCTCCTTGCTAAATGCTAATAATAATGGTTGGACAAGTAATGTGAAAGTCAAATGTTGTAGTGATGATGATGATTGAGATGTGAGTGAGGGAGGGAGGGTGTGGAGTGCCAACTGCCAAAAGCGGCGTACATGGTGTGACTACTATAATACCACGTACCACCCAATCTTCCTCCTACGTCGTTGGACTTTCTTCTTCCACCCCACCACTCAAAATCCGACACGTGTTCCTCCCTTTCCTCTCGCTGCTGCTACTAGCCTACTACTACTACATGTCACTTGTGTATGCGGCTCATCATCATTCACCAGAGACTACACACAGACACAAATCTCGGGTGAGGCAAAACCCAAGCAGCATGGACATGATTCCTGGGAAGATCCGAAAACGAGGCTGCTCCTCCTCTGCCTCCTCCTCCTCCTCCGTGCTCCACAACTACCGCTTCAAGAGAACCATCCTCGTCGGGAAGCGTGCCGGATCCACTACGCCCGTCCCCACCTGGAAGCTCATGACCTCCAGATCTCCGCTCCGGCCACTTCCCTCCCCCAAGCCCCGCCAGGTCGCCGTCTCCGCCAGAAAGCTCGCCGCCACTCTATGGGAGATGAACGAGATTCCCTCGCCCGCCCTCAGCTCCAAGAAGGGCCTCAGACCCAGAGACCGAGTCGCCAGGTCCACGCGCTCCGGTTCTCTGCCTCCTCATTTGTCCGATCCATCACACAGTCCCGTCTCCGAGGTTCTTTCGCTTTAATTCATCTTTTTCTTCCTTTAACTAACTGCAAATTAATTTTGCATTTATTTCTCACTCTTTTCTTTTTCTAGAGAATCGATCGATCCGGAACAGGGAGAAGCCAGAAAAGAACTCCCTCTATTTCTCACAGGCAGAGGGTCACTGAACACCATCTTGGTCCTTTCGATTCTCTTAGCAATGTTAGTCTCATGGAGGTAACTAATCTCTACTTCTAATACTATTGTAGACCTAGAACATTTTCAATCAATTCTCCCATGTGAGATTTTCTTAATTCTGAATTCTGAATTTAGCTGAGAATTCTGAATTGTGTCTGTCTCTCTTTATCAACATTAAATAGGTGGGCTCCTATTGAACTTTGTTGGTGTTTATGAAAAAGAGGGGAATGGACCCTCTCGTTGAGATTCTTTTATCAAATGTTGTCATAATTTTTCTGTCTCTTTGTGGATGATGAATGCTTCCTGCTATCTAATGTTTGTAAAGAGAGAGATAGACACAATTGTGGGAATCCATTCCTACAATGAGAGAGAATTACCAATTTTTTGCATAACTAGAGTTTGTTTGAATATAAGTTCTTATTTTCAATCGAGAAACTCTCAGAAGTTCTTCTAAACCATTATCTAAACAAACTACTAGTCTTGTGAAAATCTCACATGAGAGGATCCATTCTCACTGAAGATATTTTATGCTTTGCTCTTCCTTACTGTGGATAGAGGTTTTCTGTTTTAGTGTTGTTTTTAGGTGTTAAAATCCATTCCTCTGGCATCAAATGCCCTGTCATGTGTAGCACTAATTTCTGAAAAGTCAGTTGCATATATGTTTTTACTATATTTTGAACAAATTGCGAGCTTGTTTCAATGTAAATATTGTGTGGGTGCAAGCTGCAAAGGATTTGTACAGTTGCACGTAGTTTCTTTTGATGCTACTACTAGTAATTCGATGGTATGTCAATAGAAGACTTATACCGACACAGATTATAAATTTAGCATGCCAAGGTTCTCTATTCACATGAGAATGGACAAACAGCACACCATAGTTAATTTACACATTTTCTCGATAATAATACGCAATGTGCACGTCTCCTTATAGTTGTATCTTGGTTTTCTTGCAGATTGAAACCAGATCACGAGCGCAGACCCCTGCTTCATCTGCTGTTGGAGTTAAACCACGTTTAAAAGATGTTAGTAATGCTTTAACGACATCCAAAGAGCTACTTAAAATTATAAACCGGATGTGGGGTCATGAGGATCGTCCTTCCTCTAGTATGTCCCTTATCTCTGCTTTGCATACTGAGCTGGAGAGGGCGCGCCTACAGGTCAATCAGCTTATCCAGGAACAGCGCTCAGATCAGAATGAGATAAATTATTTGATGAAGTGTTTTGCTGAAGAAAAGGCTGCTTGGAAAAACAAGGAGCAAGAAATTGTTGAGGCTGCAATTGAATCTGTTGCTGGAGAACTCGACGTAGAGAGGAAGCTCAGGAGACGGTTTGAAAGCTTGAACAAGAAGCTTGGGAGAGAACTGGCTGACACCAAAGCATCCCTTCTTAAGGTGGTGAAAGAACTTGAAAGTGAGAAGAGAGCAAGAGAAATTATTGAGCAAGTATGTGATGAGTTAGCAAGAGATGCTGATGAAGATAAATCTGAGATTGAGAAACAAAAGAGAGTGTCTACAAAAGTTTGCGAAGAGGTAGAGAAAGAAAAGGAAATAATGCAGTTGACCGATAGATTACGCGAGGAGAGAGCTCAAAAGAAACTCTCCGAGGCAAAATATCAGCTCGAGGAAAAGAATGCAGCTGTTGATAAGCTCAGGAATCAACTTGAAGCTTTTCTAGGAAGCAAACAAGTTATTAGAGAAAAAGGTCGCAGTTCCACAACTTCCACTCACTTGAATGATGAAGAAATTGCTGCGTATCTGGGTAGAAGCCGAATAGGTTCCCATCTCATTGCAGATAAAGAAGATGATGAAGGAGAGGTTGACAATGGACTAGAATGTTGTGAGGAGGAATCTGCTGAGAGTGATCTGCATTCTATAGAGTTAAATATGGACAACAACAACAAGAGTTACAAGTGGACACACCCTTCCGAAACCAGATTCGATACGAGAAGATATCCAATTGAGGAAGAAATGAAAGGAAGTAGGAGGTCTACCTCTGGGAAAGCTTCGAGGAAAAGCACTTCCTTACAAAGGAGTATATCAGATGGAATGGAATGGGGAGTCCAAGCTGATAAGCTTCAAAATTCAGGACATGGGATAGATTGGGAAAGCTTTTATGAACTGGAAAAACAAGCTCAAGGAAAAGGTTATGGGGATGAAATGCAAGGCTATAAATCAGTGAAAGGTCTGAGGGATCAGATATTGGCCAGTTCCAAGCTTGGATCTTCAAGAGGTTATGCCAGTCCAACTAGACAGTTTTCCCAGCCTTGGCCATCACGAGATCTCCCAAATAATTTTCAGGAAAGACCTGCTTCAGCGCAGGGAAATGGTCTAAAATCAAGGTTAGGGGAAGGCCAGAATGTAAGGAAGTCCAAAAGGTGAGTTAATGCTCATGTCTTTGGACACAAACATGTGGTTGCCAAGACCATACCAGTTTGCTTCTGCTATCATGATGGCTGGTAAAGTTGCAGGACAAAGAATATCATAGATCCACGAGCCACTTGGTAGAAGCTGAAAGAAGCTTTTCTCCTTTTAAGTTTTATTCTGTTGATAGCCCATGCATGGCTGCTGAAGTTGCAGCTCTCGCTGCTTAAATTTTCATTTGACCCTATGTGTAGGTATGGTCGTGTTTGTAGAGTTCAGAACATGTGTTATATAAGTATAACCCGCGAGTTTTTGTTTTCTTCTGTAATATAAGCTGAAGGTGATTAAGAACATATTTTTTATTTTCTCCTTTCTGTATCCAAGGATACTACCGCCTTTTCTCCCACAAGGTGTTTTAATGAGCGAGGAAGATCCAATTGCCAAGGGTGATGATTGGCTCGGGTCGGGTAAGAATTATGGGGAATTCGGGGTTTAAATTGATAAAAAAAAAAAAGTAATTGGGTTGAGTTTTCCAAATTTTTGGTGTTAAGTCGAGTCGGGTTATCAAGTTTATGAAAATTACTTCGTGCACCTATCTTTTTATATTCTACGCTTCATATGTGTTCTGAAATGCGTGTTCGGACACATGATGGGTGTAGGAAGAAAAAACAAAGTTTATTCTTTAGCCGAAGTGGGTTGTTGTGGCTCATAATACTATTAATTGAATATGGCTATTGTTCTTACCGGAAATCTGCTGTAGGGATGATCTGCCGAATAAGATTGGTGAGCCTCCTTCGCTGGTACGTTGGTGTTCCAAGATGGGGGTGGTACCTGCAAAAGAGACTCCGATGCTAAAATTAGGGTTTGTGTGAATATGAGTCTCGTATAAATAATGCACGTACCTTAGTGTGAGTTAGGGTTGCGTTGGGCCTTGAGCCTAAGATGAGATATGATATGATTAGATAACGGATCTCATATGGAGCGAGATCCCCTGAGATCGGTTATGATCTATTTAAGTGCCGATTTGACGTCACGCGACGCGTGCCCGAGATCGTCTTATGTTGTGATGCCGAGCTGGGAGCTCGGCTCTGGAGTGTAGATAGTACACTAGCCCTCCGAGCTCCGAAGACCGTGGGTCGAGGAGTTAAGATCGAGCTCGTCAAGTGGCTGTGACCCCTCGTGTATGCTTGCTTGTTGAGGAGCCATGTGTCATAGCTAGTCATTTCCCGAAAACGTGCAGGTGGCGCATTTATGAGAATGACGGTTATGCAATGATGGTTTCTAATTAATGTGTCGTTAGTTGTGCCTTTTGGCTGACACGTGCCGTGACCGTTTTGAATTTGGGGAAAAACCCTTTTCTTTCTCTCTCCCGCGTCTCTTCTAATTCACTTTACTTTCTTTCACTCTTTGGCTTCTCGAGTACGATAGTTCTCTTTGCTTTCTTGCTTTCGTTCGTTCTCCGCCTCCATTTTCACAGTCTCCGTCGTTGTTTTCGGTAACAGTCATTGTTAGGGTTATTTTTTGAGGAAGAGTACCAGGTACTTTCTTTCTACGGTTTTCTTTTTCTTTCTTCCCCTCTCTTCTTCGGGTCTTTCTTGTCGTCTTTATGGCTGGAGGGAGTGGTGTTGGTTCCTCCGCGCTTGCCAAGGGCAAGGCACGGGGTAAGGCGACGACTGCCGGAACGGCCGCCGCTGCGAAAAAGAAGGAGGTGGTGCCGCTAGCGAACCTCGTTCCAGGCATTCCTAGGTACGACTGGGTTCAGTGCGAGATGGCGGAGGCCCAAAGCGTTTTCCGGTCCTTTCTTGAAGTCAATGCGGTTTTGAGATCGCTCAGAATCTGTGACCCTTCTATGTCCCGAATGATCCGTCTTGAACCGTGTCAGGCCGGAGAGGGCATGTATATGGGGAAGTCTACTGACTCTCCCCATTTCTATATGTACCATTGTTTTTTTAGGGATTTAGGTGTCTGCCTTCCCTTCACCCAATTTGAGTGTGATTTTTTGAACTTTGTCAACTCGGCTCCTTGCCAGTTGCACCCCAATAGTTGGGGTTTTTTGAGGGCTTTTCAAGTCCTCTGTTCAGTGCTAGGGGTAGAGGTGTCCCTTCCCGTCTTTCTTCATTTTTATCAGTTGAAGATAGGCGTTCCGCCTTATGGCATACTGTCCCTGAGCGGGAGTAGGGATGGGGGTTTGTTTACCCTCTACGCCCACTCATACAAGAATTTCAAGCAAGAGTTTTTCCGGGTTGCTCTTGTGGGTGTCGACCCATTGGAGGATGGGGCGTTTTACTTCGGCGGGCTGCCGAAGTTCCCTTTTTATTGGTGCCCTAAACCGTCTAGGTTTCATGGGGTGGGCCAATTAAAACTGACGGCTTCGGAGGCGGCCGTCGTCGAGAATCTCGCAGTGCTTCCTCGTCCGCTGGATTGCAAGCTCGTTCTGTCGCTTGCGAACTCAGCATACAGGGAGAGGGGCTTGGAGAGTGAGTATTTCGCCCTTTTTTAGATTATTAGGGTTTGTGAAAATCCTTTTTCTGATGTGCTTTGGTATGTTGTGTTTGTAGACATAATGGGCAGGAATAAGTGGCGCGAGCTGACGCACCGCTACAGCGTGACCGAGCTCGAGGTCCCTAAGCCTCCAGAGGAGGAGGTTTCCCCCTTGAAGGTCAACCGAAAAAGAAAGAGGGGCGATAAAGAGGTCGGGGGGGACCTCTGCTCCTCGCGGAATGGAGGAGGTGACCTCCAAGGCTGCAGATGCCGATGTAGTCGATCTCACTGGGACTTCTGAGCAAGATGTTCCCTATGCTGAAGTAGGTGTTTTATGCTTTAATTTACTTTCTATGTTGATTTGGCTTGGTTTGTTGAGGTGTTGTCTCTCTTTGCAGGTCGGGGTGGCTGCCGAGGTGGAGATCCTGGATGCTGAGCAGGTCGCCCAGGCTGCCAAGGTTAGTACTTCGCTTTTCGCTTTCCCCTCTATCTCGTAGATTCTTGTTTCTTAACATGAGGTCGATTTTTGCAGGAAGGGGGCACTGTCGAGACCCCGGTGCCTCCGAGGTCGGAGGTGCCAGATGTGGGCCCCCCTGTTGCCAAGCGGGGGACGCCGGCTTATGCTTTTGTTACCACTCGCGGCAAGGAGCCAAGTTCCGAGGTCTTTTCGGCTACGCCCGCAGTTTCTGCGCCATCGTCAGGGCCGTCACAGGGGGCTTCCCAGAGTCGATATATTGCTCACCGTTTCGGGAAGTTGGTAAGGGAGGATGATGTCGAGGACAGCTCCAACGAGAATGCCTCTGCTAGGCCAATTTTGTAATGGCTTAGCTAAATTTCTTCTGCTTTATCTTTTTGTTTCGAATTCAAGTGTAGAACTCTGGAAACATCACTTGTATGTATGTATTTTTTGTCTACTTGTTATTGCGTTTTCTTTTGCTTTTGCGTTAAAGCCTGAGTTTTCTTTTTTGCGCATTTTGAGAGATACCCTCGGTGTCTATTGTATCTTTGTGAAGGTTCGAACTCGACCTCAGATTTTTTGTTAACTAATTCTTGCGAGGGTTCGAATTTGACCTTAAGTCGATCATGCCGAGGTCCTCGGAGTCTGGGGTGTAATGTGTTTCGTCAAGGTTCGAACTCGACCCCGGGTAAGCGTGCTTAAGGTTTGTACTCGACCTTAAATTAGAGTAAAGTGGAATTTATTAAGGTTCGAACTCGACCTCGGGTAAGCGTGCTTAAGGTTCGTACTCGACCTTAAATTAGAGTAAAATGGAATTTATTAAGGTTCGAACTCGACCTCGGGTAAGCGTGCTTAAGGTTCGTACTCGACCTTAAATTAGAGTAAAATGGAATTTATTAAGGTTCGAACTCGACCTCGGGTAAGCGTGCTTAAGGTTCGTACTCGACCTTAAATTAGAGTAAAATGGAATTTATTAAGGTTCGAACTCGACCTCGGGTAAGCGTGCTTAAGGTTCGTACTCGACCTTAAATTAGAGTAAAATGGAATTTATTAAGGTTCGAACTCGACCTCGGGTAAGCGTGCTTAAGGTTCGTACTCGACCTTAAATTAGAGTAAAATGGAATTTATTAAGGTTCGAACTCGACCTCGGGTAAGCGTGCTTAAGGTTCGTACTCGACCTTAAATTAGAGTAAAATGGAATTTATTAAGGTTCGAACTCGACCTCGGGTAAGCGTGCTTAAGGTTCGTACTCGACCTTAAATTAGAGTAAAATGGAATTTATTAAGGTTCGAACTCGACCTCGGGTAAGCGTGCTTAAGGTTCATACTCGACCTTAAATTGGAATTTATTAAGGTTCAAACTCGACCTCGGGTAAGCGTGCTTAAACATAGAGCACCTTGTGGTAAAATGATGGAGATAAGAGATTGTGAATAGAAGAATGAATTATTTTATTGATGAATATATGTGCCTCGTTAAAAACCCTCTCAGCCAAAACCCATTTTTGGGATAAGAGACTGAGGTGGGAAAAGAGTGCATAACTCGTTTATATAAAATTAGCTGAGATAGGACTTGGGATGCGAAGCATTCTAGGTTCGCGGTGTTGGTTGTCCGCCGTGTTCTTGTAGTTGGAGGTTGCAAGCTTCTTGGTGGGTTTGAGCTTTTTCTTCGGGCTCGCCAACGGGGCTTTGTCCTCCCCTACGGGGATCGGTCCTTGGGCCGAGGTCAGTGACCCCCACGTGGTAGTTGTGAGCCACGGTGGGGGGCTCCTGCTTGCTTTGCTTGCCAGACGAGGAGACCTTCAGACTCTCGGCGTAGCACTGCCGAGCTGTCTTCTGATTTCCTTTGACGGAGATGATCTTACCGTCGTTTCCTCGGAACTTCATGGTTAGGTGTGGAGTAGACACCACTACTCCGAGCTGATTCAACGTCGGCCTCCCAATGATGATGTTATAGGAGGTGTTGGCTTCCACAAGAAGGTATCGGACCATAATTCTCCTTGTGTCTGGAGAGGTTCCGAAGGTGGTCAGCAGGTCCAAGTATCCCCGTGTGTGTACTCGTTCTCCTGCAAAACCAACTAGGGGCTCTGTGTGAGGTTGGATGAGAGAGTGGGGGATGTCTAACCTGAGGAAGGTTGGCCAATATAGAACGTCGGCCGAACTTCCTTGGTCAATAATTGTCTTCTGAACATCTCAGTTGGCTACTTCTACGGCGATGACCATGGGGTCATCTTGATTAGGGCTGACGCCAACATAGTCCTCATCGGAGAAAGAGATCGGAGGTGAGCTCTGATGCGATGCTGAGGTAGCGGAGTGGACACTGTTGATATTGCGCATGTGTCTCTTCCGGACCGAGTTGGTGGCACCTCCCCTGCAAATCCGCTTGTAATCGTATTAATAACTCCCCGTAGGGGAGCTGATCTTGTCTCTTGGCCTATCTCGGCTTACATTGCTCCGCCGGCATTCTGCTAAGAACCAGAGGGTTGGTCCGTGCGAGCCCCTGAACCACGGCCTCGGCCCCGTCCTCGTCTGCCATAGCCTCCTCGGTGACCTTGCTGTCGCTGGACATATTGGCCGAGGTGGCCTGCTTGGATGAGTTCTTCAATACGGTCTCGAAGTGAGCGGCACTCCTCGATAGTGTGACCATGATTCCTATGGTACCGACAATGCTTGGATTTGTCGGCGCTGTTGGGGGTGTGCCCTGGCGGTGGTAGGGTGAGCAGATTGTTGTTACTGGCCTCCTCCAGGATATGTACCCTGGGCGTGTTCAGGGGAGTATAGAAGTCATATCTCCCCCCTCTGTTCGTCTTAGCCGACTTCTTGAACTGGCTGTCATTATTGACTTTGACCTTGTCCTTGTGGCCACCGTCGGGTTTTACCTGTGATTTCCCGCAAACTTGGTCACGGAAAGCAGAATGTTCCTCTATCTGAATGTACCCAGCGGCACGGGCACGAAGGTCGTCCATATCGCGAGGTGCTTCACGACATAGGCTGTCGACGAACGGTTCAGGTTTGAGTGTCATGAGCATGGCGTGTAGGGCGACCTCGGGGTTTAGATTCCTGATCTTTACCGAGGTGTTGGCGAATCGCTCCATGAACGCCCGAAGTGGCTCGTCGTCGTTCTATCTGAGACTGGCTAGAGCGGCAGAGGTGATGTGGTATGGTCGGCTCGTTGCATATTGTGCCGTGAACCGGCTCACCAGGGTGCCGAAGCTGTCAATGGACTCGGCTGGCAGCTGGGTGTACCAGTTGAGCGCGACCCCTTTGAGCGAGGTTGGGAAAACCCTACACAGAAGAACATCATTGTTAGTGTAGAGGTTTACCTGTGTCGTATATAGGTCGATGTGCTCGTCTGGGTCTGTCGTGCCATCGTAGCGATCGAGGTGGAGAGGCTTCCACCCGTGAGGGAGTGGTGTCTCCATAATGCCATCTACGAAAGGGTGGCGGCGGAAGGTTATCTGATCCCCTACGACATGAGTAGGAGCCCTGCTATCTTCATGGGTCGGCTTTTGCGTTGGTGCATGAGACCAGTGTGAAGCAAGTCTGGGGGTTGGGCCCCTAGTTGCAGTCCGGGGCTGGGAGACTGAGTGTGTCTCTTCCTCGTGGAGGTTGCTCGCCTTAGGCTGGGGATCAGAGGGACGCCGAGGGAGTTGAGCGCGAATACGCTCGTTCTCGGCGCGCAACGCTGCCAGGTCAGCTTCATTGGCGGTCCGCATTGCTGCTAGGTCAGTTTCATGCTTGGCGCGCATGTTGCGTAGATCGGCATCGTGTTATTGTCGCATCTGTTCGACTTGGTCGATCAGTCTCCTTAATGTGGCTTCATTATCCATGGCAGTTGAATGTTATGCGTCGTCTGTATAGGTTAAGTATTATTTATAACTGCTAGAAATATATTATTATAGTAGTGACTGTAGTGTGTGATACTTCTATTATTATTATTTTTTTTATAAATTCTTAAAATAAAAGTTACATATACCTTAAAATCCTTGTTGTGGACAAAAAAAATGATGATTTTAAATTTGAAAAGTGTGAGAAAAAAAATATTTCACAAGGACTAAACTAAAAATTTACTCCTTTTATAAGGATCTAAAATATTTTACAAGCACAAAAAATAATATTTACAAACTTTATAAAGATAAAAAAAAATTATAGGAACCAAAATTCAAACTCACATTTAACAAGACTAAAAATATATTTAAATTATATATATTTATATAAATATTCTTTTATAATTTTAAAAACTTTTATTATATTTTTTTAATTATAAATAAGTTAATTAAAATAACTCCATACTTTGAAATTTGAAAATGAAAAATTGATTAATCAACTCAGTTAGTTAACTTAGATGTTAATGAAAGTATAGATTTTTGTTTATACATAAACTAAGAGTAAAGAATAGCTGGTAAAAAAAAGTCAAATGCATATCAATAAATACATGGTTTTTAAGATAATATGGACAAGTATCGAAAATCAATTAAACATTCTTTTAAGATGTGTAATCAATAAAATTGTCGTTTTATCTCTTTATTTTCTCTTTATAAAACATGTTTTAAGTGATTTTTAGTGTGTAAAAGTTGTTGTGAAATCTCACTCTTCCTCGTGCCAATTAATTCACATTTGTATTTTTTTTCCTTTTCATTATACAGTGATCTCTATCCACATTTTTTTTTATAAAAAAAGTATGATTGTATTTTAAATTATTTTAAATTATTGTTATAGTTATTATGAATATACTAGTATTTTTAATTTATTAAAAATAAGACAGTAATTTTAATTTACATGATTAAACAAGTGTATATAAAAATATTTATTTCATATATTTCTGGGAGTTAAAATGCTAATAACAATAAATGTTTATTAAAGCATAAAAAAAAAGAATGGATGTTTATTAAAATAAAAAACAAAACTAAGGAGAAGACCGAAAGAAAGCATAGTGCGGAAATGCAGATGCAGGTGTTTCCCTCTGAACTCTCATTCCCATTTTCACTTCCATGCGTTCAATCTGTCAGTCCTCTCCTCCTCGTTCAGCTGCCACCATAAACACCCTCCTCAAGGCCTGCAAGAGCATTCAACACCTCCAGCAAGTCCACGCCTGCATCATCCACCGAGGCCTCGAGCAAGACCACTTCCTCATTTCCCTCTTCATTTCCCACACCCTCTCCTCTCCCTCCTACTCCTCCTCCGTCTTCCGCCGCGTCCTCGCCCCCTCCACCTTCCTCTGGAATACCCTCATCAAATCCCACTGCCAAAACACCCTCTTTTCCCACACCCTCTCCGCCTTCGCCACCATGAAGGCGCACGGGGCCCTTCCCGATTCCTACACCTACCCTTTTGTCATCAAGGCCTGCTCCGCCATGTGCAGGCCCCGCCAAGGTAAATCGCTTCATGGCTCCGCTTTCCGGTGCGGCTTGGACCAGGATATCTACGTGGGCACCAGCTTGATCGACATGTATGGGAAGTGTGGGGAGATTGGTGATGCTCGCAAGGTATTTGATGGAATGTCTAAGAAAAATGTGGTTTCTTGGACTGCTATGGTTGTCGGGTATGTCGCTGTTGGGGACGTTGTGGAGGCCAAGAAGCTGTTTGATGAAATGCCGCAGAGAAATGTGGCTTCTTGGAACGCGATGATGCAGGGTTTGGTGAAGGTGGGGGATTTGGGTGGGGCTAGAGGCGTGTTTGATTCTATGCCTGAGAGGAATGTTGTTTCTTTCACCACCATGATTGATGGGTATGCCAAGGCGGGGGACATGGCGGCCTCCAGGTTTTTGTTTGAACGTGCTCCGGAGAAGGATGTTGTTGCTTGGTCTGCTTTGATATCGGGTTATGTCCAGAATGGTCAGCCTAATCAGGCGTTGAGAGTGTTTCTCGAGATGGAATCAATGAATGTGAAGCCTGATGAGTTCATATTGGTTAGCTTGATGTCGGCTTCGGCGCAGTTGGGTCATTTGGAACTGGCTCAGTGGGTTGATTCTTATGTAAGCAAGAGCAATGTTGATCTTCAGCAGGATCATGTGATTGCAGCGCTTTTGGATATGAATGCAAAGTGTGGAAACATGGAAAGGGCGTTGAGATTGTTTCAGGAAAAGCCTACAATTTTGATCCTCAGCAGGATCATGTGATTGCAGCGCTTTTGGATATGAATGCAAAGTGTGGAAACATGGAAAGGGCGTTGAGATTGTTTCAGGAAAAGCCTAAACATGATCTAGTCTTGTATTGTTCGATGATACAGGGGTTATCGATTCATGGGCGTGGAGAAGAGGCTGTGAATTTGTTTAACAGGATGCTGATGGAAGGGCTAACTCCGGATGAGGTGGCCTTCACAGTGATCCTCGCGGCTTGTAGTCATGCTGGTCTTGTTGATGAGGGCAAGAACTACTTTCAGTCAATGAAGCAAAAATACTGCATTAGTCCTTCACCTGATCACTATGCGTGTATGGTTGATCTTCTAGGCCGGTCAGGGCACATAAGGGATGCTTATGAACTTATAAAATCAATGCCTGGGGAGCCTCATGCTGGTGCCTGGGGTGCACTTCTTGGGGCATGTAAACTATATGGTGATTCGGAGTTGGGAGAGATTGTTGCGAATCGGCTTTTTGAGCTGGAGCCTCAAAATGCCGCTAACTATGTGCTGTTGTCTGACATCTATGCAGCCGCAGAGCGGTGGATAGATGTTGCGCTTGTGAGAAGTAAGATGAGAGAAAAGAGAGTGCGGAAGATACCTGGTTGCAGTAAAATTTAGTCCAGGGATGAGTTGTTTAGGTATTTTGAGCTTTCACAATTCCATGTATGAAGTTATGAATTGGATAATTTGGTTGCAGAACATGGAAAGTGAAGCGAATTGGTTTTGTTGGTCTGTACTCTGGAAGCATAGCAGATGCACCATGGTTGTTAAATTGTAAATGGAGTTGACAGGATTAAAGTTTACTCCAGTTTTCACCTATATACTGTGATGTATCTGCCAAGCTTTGGGTCTTAATTTTGCTATACGGGTGTTTATAAAGCAACTTCTTTGCTGCTCTGGATTTTTGTACGTGCCTAAACAAACATGTCGCAATGCAATTCTGACTGAAGGGATTATCAAGGGCAGATTTAAGCTACAGTCGTCTGCATGGTTGTAAAAGGGATTTTGTCAAGTCTTGGGTGTAAATTGTAGTAGTCTGCAAAGCAGAAAACTACTTTATCATTGATTTGGCTGAAATCTGTGGCATAAAACTCTGAAATTTTTGTTGTCAGGTTGCCACATTTTTTTTAACCATCCAAAGGCCACAATTTATTTATTATTTATGAAGATGCTATTATTTTTGGAAAATTCTACCGTACCCACTATAATTGTGGGGTTTGGCACAGTTGTCTAATTTTTATTTATTTATTGTAATTACTTGTTTTATTTTTATTTTAATTTAGTATTTTTAATAATTTATATTTACAAAATTTTCTATATCTTTATATTATTTTAAAATTTTATCTTAATATAGCATCTATTATAATTAAATAATTTAATATTAATATTTTGTTAATACGTTTTAATTTTTCTTTGGTGTTAATTTTTTGAATTTATAATATAAATTAATTTTTCAGTTGAATTATTTATTATTTTCTTTCTTATTTTAATATTTTTATAATATTATTATACTTTTTGTTTTTAACTTTTTAATTCTATCACATATAAATAAAATTTGTTATGAAAATTAATTTTTTGATTATTTTTTTGAATTAGTCTTTTTGATTGATTCATCTTCTACAAATTTTTAATCAAAAATTTATGTTATTTTAAATTTAGTTCTTTTAAATTTATTTGTTCATATAATTTGAAGTACTAAGACCTTATAGAAATATAATTTTTAAAATAATAAAATATAGAATAAATTTAAATAAAATAATTTATAAAATAGTAAATACATAAATTTAAATATTTTTATTAAAATATTTTAAAATAAAAATCATTAAAAAAATTATAAAAAATTGTAGACAATCATTTTTTTTACTTAGTTAAGTTTTTAAACTACTTGTAATGGTTAATTTTTGTATAATTTGTTTAATGTGTATTTTTTTTTGTTTGAACAATGATTAATGCCATTTATGATAGTGAATTTAATAGAGCCACTTTCATGTCTTGAATTAATTCTAAAAGTCTTTATAATAAGAGTTAATCATTCATATATTGCCGGTGTAAAGTTTTTTACACTAATAACCAATCATAGCTTTTAAATTATTTTATTTTATTTTTATTTTATTAAATGAGCAACTGACATGACACTATTAAAAGATATGATTGGTTATCAGTGTAAAAAAATTTTACACTGGCAGTGTATAAATGATTAACTCTTATAATAATGTCTAAAATTATATTAAAAAAGTGTAATACAAAAAGAAATTATAAAAAAATCAATGTTGAAGATAACATTAGTTTCACATAGTGGCAATTTTTTGTTTTACAAAGGATTGTGATGATGATGAATTTGTCTTGGATATCGTGTATGATTGTTTTCATTTTTAATTATTTGTTGATCTTGCGACAAAGGTTTATGGTAATCATAGACAAAAGCAGAAAAAGTATTTGTCTTTTGTTGATAAAATTTATGTTGGTTAAAAAATGAATCATCGTTAAGATACATACTTTACAAGTATGTTATAGTTGAGTGTGACAAACTAATATTTACACCAAAAAGATCAACAAAAAGTGTTGATAATTGTCACAATAGTGATGAGGATGTTGTGATGGAGGACTTACAACAATTGAATTATTTTATGATTTTCAACTATCATTTTGCATATTATCGATAATAACAAGGTTGGAGTGTGGAGTTGTATTTTGTTGTGAACATTCTTGTTTTGTTGACATTTTTGTTGGTGCTTGTGACATTTGACCAACATCAATGTTTTCAACAACCCATGAGTTTTATAATTGTTAGGGCACATAAAAACAAAGAATTGTATTTTATCTATACCATGTCATATATTCATTTGTATGAGATAAATGACCAGTTACAAGTTGTCCTACTACAACACTCTGTTGGCATTCCATCCATTGCTGGATCCGATGGATATGTTCTTCTATCCAATTATCATAAGCATTTCTCTGCATGGATGTCTAATGTTATTTAGCAGCAGTTGTGGTATATATTGCCATAAAGCAAATTGGAGTTTACTCTACCTACTTGTTACCATTCAACCATTATGAAACAAAATAGAGGGGTACAAACATTCCATATTGTTGAATTTTTAAATATATTTTTTAGTAGTTCACTTTCATAATGAACATTAATGTCAAAATACATGACAATTATTAAATTAAAAGAAGTATGTATACCTTTATATTTTGTATGTGATCAATTCTTGACCTATACCTGACTAAGTCACATTTTGGTGTCCCAAAATGCCTTAACCCCCACACTCCATTTGGTACAACATATATGACATGAGTAAATAAGTAGTAATAACTATAATAAGGATAAAAATGTTAAAATTTTATATACCTAATCACAAAATGATACTAAATTTTGGGATAAGCTAATTAATTTTTGAACAATTTTTTTTTTGTTAACAAAGAGAATAAAAGATATAAGGAGTATTAAACTTTACAAATTCTAAGTGTCTAAATAAAAAGTGTAAAATTACACACACACATATGTCTATATCATCTTTCTCTATACAACCCCTACAAGGCAGAATTCCAAATTACAAAATCACACCCATCTTAGTTAAATTTCTAAACCAACTCCCCAAGATGTACACAAATCAGCAAGTATTATGCATATAAGCAGTACACTAGCCCATACCAGCCAGCACCTTAAGATACATAATAATCACTTATACCCATTTTTTAAGATGCATGTACATATTTGACAAATAAGATATTTAGATACGATACCCATGATTGTGAGTATACTGATTGAAGGAGTATTGGAAGTTATGTTGCTTTACATTTAGCCAACTATAAGATATGAAAAAAATGTCTTCATCAACTTATATTTGTTGAATTGCCCTCCTATAAAAACGCAACAGTTACTATGATTCCAAATGCTCCTTGATATGGCACACCAGAACACCTGTCACCTTGTTTTTAGTTTTGATTCTAGTACAAAAGGGATTTGATTGAAATTTTGTACCAAACTTTCAAATAAGATTGTGGATGTTCGAATCACCAATAACACTCTAACCAAACCATACTTCATCTACCTCTGACAAAGATTCTACTTGAATGTGATAGAATGGGATTACATTTCTTCTTATTAAATTTTTGTATCATTGGTAGAGCATTGTAGTAGACCCTCCACATGAAAATCATTACCTTCGGAGGAACATAGAGGTTCCAAATATGTGAAATTGTTGTCCAGCTGACTTCTAGGAATCCAAACTGCACCATTATGTAAAGATCTGTGTGCTGATTTGATCGAGAATGTCCATGTAGGTCTAGCACACTAAAGTCATTTATCTTCACCTTTTCTAAATTTACACTAGATTTTAGTTGTTACAAGATTTCCCTCTTATTACTTTCCCAATCGAACCATATTCTAAGCCATTTGAAATTCCACACCCAATTGCATCTACCCAACATCCCATATTTACAATTCTCTCATGTTGCTTTGGATTTAGAAACAATCTAGGCAGGGTGGTAGCGAAGCATTTGTCCTGCCAACTAGTTGTCCACTCAAAATTTAACTTGGTCCCCTCTCCTAATTTCCATGCCACTAGGTTATAAAACCATTTTAGTTGATTTTTATCGCCACATACTTTTCTTTAGTCTATCCACCATACTAAAAAAGTACTACTAAGATTATGCGACCCTTCATATACACTTTCCTCCAAAGATTTTCCTTTTGCTAAAATATGCTCCACATCCATTTTGCCACAAGAGCAAAATTAAAGTTGTTGATACATTTTTTTTTTCCAAACCTGTAACAACTTTTAGGCTGACATATCTTCTCTTAATTTACCCATAATATTTTCCTTTTTCCTTCTAGACAGTCGCAGAAAAATCTTCTTTTGAATACTTACAAAGTTACAATCTACCTAACCACCATTTTGGTCATGTTAAGAAAAGAAAGAAAAATATATGCAACAAACTAATTATGTTCCTCATAACCTAACCTGTTGGACCCTTGTCTAAACAAGGTTGAATCCATATCGATAATAATGTACCAGATACCAATATCCAACATGTACAATTAATGAATATATTAGAAGTGTATCAAGATTTAGCTTCCAACTTCTACTATGCAAAATTAGACTTCTAAACCAAAATACCTTTTAAAGACCTATTTTATGAAAAATAAACAATTTTCTTTTAATTTTTATAATTAATAATAGATAGTTATTATTTTAGTAAAAAAACAATTATTACCTATATTTTTTTTAAATTTCATTTCACTACTCCACTATGCCTGTTGTAAAACTCCTTAGAAAGTATTTGGTATGTGAAATATTTACATTTTTTTGAATTCTTAAAGTGAGAATCTTAGCTTCCTATATTTAGTGACTACTAAAAAAAAGATTCTTAGGAATGTAGTTTTCCAGAAACCATTTTTATCACACTTTCTCACAAAAATATTCTTATGAAAGGAGGTGAAAATTCAACTTTTTCGAATTAAAAAAAAAGTTTAATATATATAAAAAGATCACAATAACATTTTTTAAAACATAAAATCTCTTTATTTCTCTCACTCTTTCTATTTCTCCTTCTCTCTCTCTCTCTCACTCTCCCTCCCCCTCTCTTCCTCTCTCCCTCACTCTCTCTCTCTCCCTTTCTATTTCTCTTTCTCCCTCTCTTTCACTCTTGCTCCCCCTCTCTTCCTCTCTCCCTTTTCATCTCTCTCTCTCTCTCTCTTGCTTTCTCCCTTTCTCATTTTTATTTCTCTTTCTCCCTCTCTCTCCCTCTCTCTCCCTCTCCATCTCTCTCCCCTCCCATATCTTTATTTATCTCTCTTTCTTGTATTTAATTATTTTTTGACCTTGTCAATTTTAATAATATTAATGAAGTTTGTTTTGTTTCTATAATTTAATATTATTTGTTAAAACTTTTTAATTTATTTATTTCAATGAAATAAAACATATATTTTTATCTTTCTTAATTATTATGTAACATTTTTCTTTGCTTTTATGTTAAATTTTGTATTTAAATAATTTTAACTATAAGTTTCTAACTATTTAAAAATAGTTTAATATCATATTTATAATAAAATTTAAATAAATAGATATATCTAATAAATTTATTTTAATAAAGAATATTTTTGTAAAAAATATTTATATTTCTAGAAATATAATAATGTAACCAAACACAAAAATATTTAATTCCCGAAAATCTTATATAAGTATTCTCACAAACTTTTATGAGTAATTAAACATCTTTTAATTATTTCTAAAAATCATAATTTTCAGAATTTATAATTTTCAATAATCATGATTCCTAAAAAATTTATCCCGTGCCAAACGTACCCTTAAATTAAAATTTGACAGTATTTATCAAAATAACGATCTTCACTGGAATTTTTCTTTTTAAAATTAATCATATGGTTTTGATTCTATATACTCCAATTATTTCAAATTAAGCAAGCAGTGATCGTCTCAACAAAAAAGATTCCAACTTGATTATTCCTAGTCGGCAGCGGAGCTAACCTTGTCGTATTAACTTGAGTACTCCTCATGACGTCAAATCTCATGAAGTGAAATTATATATACAAGCGATGTAACCAGGATTGTTTATATAAACATTTATGTACTCAATTTGCTTCTTATTCTATGGGTCTTTTATAAAATCAGAAGCTTCAGAGCGTAGACTCCAATAAAACTAATAGTAAAATATGAGCGACTTTGGCCTACCTCATCATTGCTACTCGCTATTAATTAAGCTTTTCTCTAATTTCGTATTCTATCACACTAATTCCTTCCATCCTTTTTTGTTTTCTTTCTCTTAGGTCGTATCAATGGCAAGTTCAACCTCTGCACTCAACAGAAGGTACGTTCCGAGGATCAAATAATAGTTCAGATTCAGAATTTGATGATGTACACAATCGAGCAGGACGTGAAATTTCTTCCTAGTAAATTCTAATATTTGTGTTGTACCTTCATATTTATGAATAGTATCGTAAAATACAGCCTCCTTTCTAGCTTACCGGTAGCTTTTACTTTGGGTCTCAAAATATTTATAAAATAAAAAAATAAAAATAAAAATGTATTGAAAATAAACTATATACTTTCTTAACTACTTCAGTGTTTCTGTTCTTGTTTTTTTTCGTATTAATTAGTTTCTGAATTTATATACAACTAATTATATGTAGTTGTCAAAGGATTGAAATTACTTTGTGTTTTATGTTTGTTGGAGTGTATACATGAGTACATTAATATGATATTATTACTTTGAAATTAAACTTTGATGATATTGTCTACACAAATGTCTACTTCTTATTTTATGTTTTTTTTGGGGTAATGCACTAATAACGTATTCCATACACATGATTATATTAGAATGATATTATTTATTTTGAAACTAAGTCTTTATAATTATGATTTTGTAATGCCTGAAAATATCTCATATCAATAAAGTATGTGTTTATTTTATAAATTCACAATTCTTCTCATTTTTCAAACGATGTTGAGGTTTGATTACAATTTTTTCAACTATATATGTTCCTTTCCCTAATTTGAAAGTCACGCGTATTTAAAAAGTAACTACCTCGTACTTCTAATTTTGTTTAGTTTAGGTGTCATTTTGGAATCGGAAAAGGAATAGGATATGAAACAAAAATTGTTGTGAACATGGAAGGACAAAGTGGTATTTGAATCCTTTTGATTTGTGCAGGCTAGAAGGAAAAGTTGCGCTGATAACAGGAGGAGCTAGTGGCATCGGAAAACGCACTGCGGAAGTATTCGCCGAACACGGAGCGAAAGTAGTGATCGCTGACATCCAAGACGAACTGGGCCATTCCGTTGTTCAGTCCATTGGGCCATCAACATGTTCTTACGTCCATTGTGATGTCACCGATGAAAACCAAGTCAAAAATGCTGTGGACAAAGCTGTAGAAACCTATGGGAAACTAGACATCATGTTCAACAACGCTGGCATAGTTGATCCCAACAAGCACCGAATCATTGACAACGAAAAAGCTGATTTTGAACGTGTACTCAGCGTCAATGTCACAGGTAACAATAACGCATCCTTACCCATATGGATGTTGGATTGTATCATTGTATCATTGTGTGGTATATATATATATATCTGATGTGTGGTTCCAAGGTAACAGGTGTTTTCCTAGGGATGAAGCACGCGGCGCAGGCGATGATCCCATCACGCAGTGGTAGCATTATCTCTACGGCTAGCATAAGCTCTTACGTTGGTGGTGCAGCCTCGCATGCGTATTGTTGCGCTAAGCATGCGGTGGTTGGTCTAACTAAAAATGCAGCGGTTGAGCTTGGACAGTTCGGAATAAGGGTGAATTGTTTGTCACCTTACGCTCTTGCTACTCCCTTGGCCACCAAGTTCGTTGGAGCCGATGATGAGGGGCTGGAGAGTATCATGAGCTCGCTCGCTAATCTCAAGGGTGTCACCCTTAAAACGGATGATGTGGCTAATGCCGCACTTTACTTTGCTAGTGATGATTCTAGGTACGTCAGTGGCCATAATTTGCTCATAGATGGAGGCTTCAGCATTGTCAATCCTTCCTTTCACATGTTTCAGTACCCACAGTCGTGATTTTTGTACTATGAGAGTAATTGACATGCATGAGTAGTGTATGAAAATTACAATAAAAAGGGCTCTTGTAGGGCTTTCGTCGGAGAATGTTCTGTTGTTACTTGCGTGCTTAAGCTTAATTCTTCTCTAGCTTGTATCAGCCGCTGAATAAAGATATTATTGCTGCAAAATATAAGTTTGTTGTATACACTTTTAACATGGATTACTATGACAAAATAGTTTGATCCATTATATCAATTCCCTTTCCCAGTGTTCTGATCATATTGAATTGTATCTTAATTTTAGAGAATTATACTGTTACTCTCACGCGACCAATGTCACTCATATATATATATATATATATATATATACTCAGAAATCCGAATAGTTAAAGTTCAACCTATCATCGGGGTTGTAAACCAAAACAGTAAAGAGTAATTAAAAATGGAATATTTTTCTGCCTTCAACCAAGATCAAGAATTTAATTTTACCAATTCCATATACTTGTCTATGTCTCTTCTCTTTTCTCTTTAAGAAGAAGAACAATTGATTAATATCCAAATCCAGCCAAATTGTCCAAATGATTGCGACCATGTCACCTACCACCGATTCCTTGTTTTTTCTTTGCATGTTGGACGGCCCCTAGCCCTAGGTCTAACCGAGGAAAAGTGTCCAAACTCCAAACAGTTTTTAATCGAACTTGTGGATTCTCTCCAACGACCACTATATTATGCCAACTGCATTCTAAAATACAAGTGATTCGAACTTTCTAATACCTCTCCTCATATAGGACAACTGGATTGCCAAATATTTTTTTTTCAAAGGATCTTGCCTTGTATATCATTATACCTATAGCCGTCAAAGTAGGTAACCCTGTCCGGTCCAATCCATTACAGGTTAAGTTATAAGTAGGTCAATTCAGTTCTGTTCACTTTAGGTGAACTTAAAATAAAATCAATCCGACCTGATTCACCATGGGTTAGTGAGTTAAACGGATTGATACACTTAAATAAAAAAAGTAAAACAAAAAACAAAAAAATTATTGAACATTATAAAAAATATATATTATAATCTTATATTTTAGAATTACAACCATGTTAACAAATATGACAAATAAAACGTTAAAAAAAAAATTAAATATCATCCATAAATAACTTATAAAATCAAAGTTATTATATAAAATATTGATAAATAATATCAAATTAATACTAATTATCATAATTCACAATTAGTATGTACAAAATTTAGTTAATGATATAAATGTACAATCATATAAATAAACATTTGGGAGCATAAAAAATAAAATAAAATAATAAAAAATACATCAAGTGAGCCAACCTAGCTCACCACGAGTTGACTCGTGGTAAGTCGGACCAAATTTTTCTTATAATTGAAATGGACCAAAATTTTCTAACTCAACTCGACTCAAATCCGTGGTGGGCTGGATTGGCTCACAAATTTTAATCCACTTTAATAGTTCTATGTATTCCTAACTTCTCTTTCATCTCTCATCTTCACAACTTATCATTTATTATTGATTTGTCAAATAGATAAATCGGATTTTTTTTAAAAAAAAAATGATAAATAGATGAACGGATAAATATTTTAAAGGAGAATATTAAATAAGTTATATAAGATATAGGAAGCATATTTTTTTAATGGAATTCAACTATTTGCGGTATCACTCCAAAATAGAGTTTCAATATCTGGCCCATTTCCCATACTTTTTTTTTAATTTTTTTTAATTCTTCTCAAACCACTCATTATTAACTCTACTTTTCTTTATTTCACCCAAGTTTTTCCACCATCTTGAACCCATATTTCTCATTGAAGACTCCTTTTTGTCCTCTTCCTCATATTTTGACATCAAAATTTTGTTCCGCAACGATTTGACAAGAATAATGAAATAGAGAAATGTAAAATGACATTGAAGTGTTTGAAATATTTGAGTGTTCAAATTAATCAAAAAATATTTACATTTAATTTTCTTGTTAATACATTGCACTTCTTTTCAATATATACCAGTATGTATGTAACACGCGACCGACATCCTTTAATTTCTAACTTCAATTATATCTTTAATTTCGAGTATCCTTTCATTGCGAATTCTGTCACCTATATGCCAAATTTGCTTTAAACTGAACAACGTGGTTGTTAATGACTTTATAATAGAGAATCTAAAGGCCCACCCACAATGGCGACTTTATTTACGTAAATTTGACTTTAATCGTTATGGCGTTTTCAATGTTGAAAACTTGAGCCATATATAAGAAAGTATTTAAGGGAAAGAATACCCGCCGTATGAAAAAGAATATATAGTTCATTTTCCAACTTTACAACTATACTAGAAGTCTAAAACACATTTGAATAAAAGGAAATGGGAATGCATCTTTCAAGGATAAAAGAAGAAATAGGAATGAAAACGTACATCTTAAGGATAAACAATTTTTCAGACATAATTTGTCCCACTCATATCACAACTTGGATTGATGATGATTTTTCTTAGAAAATAATGAAAACCATTGAGTATATTTTAATCTTAAATTAGATTACATCACAACCTATGAAGTCATTATTAAATTAAGAGTATTAAGTCATTTTATCCTAAAAAATATTATTATCACTCAGGGTAATCCATTTAATGAAACTCAAAATAAGGTAAGGTAAGAAAGGATGGATGATGTTAAAAGTTAATTGATCATGAAAAAGCGTATGATTGCTTGAGTTGGAAATTTGTTAAGGAGACTCTTCAAGATATTAACTTCCCAAATTTTTTTGTTAACTTGGTTTGGAAATGTATATCTACACCCACGATGCGCATGTTGTGGAATGAGGAAGTTCTAATTGAGTTTCAACCTTCAAGAGAGATTAGGCAAAGTAATTCCCTCTCATTCTATTTGTTTGAACTCTGTTTGGAAAGATTATTCAACCTTATTGAATTGACTGTCTTATAACCTCTGGAAGCCAATAAAAAAATTTTTCAAGGGGAGATCCGATCCTTCTCTTTCTCATCTTGCATTTCATCTTGCATTAGATGATCTAATTCTTTTCGCTGAAGCCTCCTTAGATCAAGTAGTGGTCATTCAAGCTTGCTTGGATCTATTTTGCAACAGCTTTGGTCAAAAGGTCAGTAAAGAAAAGGCAAGAATTTTTTTTTCAAAAAATGTTTCTTGGGGAGTACATGCGGAGATTAGTAATCAATTTGGTTTTCAAAGTATTTATAATTTGGGAAAATACCTTAGAGTCCCTATTCAGCATTAGAGGGTGAGCAAGTCTATGTATTTCCTTCTTTTTTTTTTATAGTAGTTTTGATACTATTTTTTTTCTTTTTTTATTATCACTTTTTTAAAATCAATAATTTATTAATTTTATTTTTCATTTTTGTCCTTTATAATTAATAAATGTTTATTGAATAATGTATTTATTCATTTTTAATGTATCTATTTTTTCTCCAATCACTTAAAAGGTATAACAGGAAAATAAGTAATAAATACTTTAAAAAATTAAAATATCAATCATTTTCTTAATTTCTGTGCATAAACTTTAAACGTAAAAAATAAAAAACAAAAAAACGAAGGAAGTATAAGGGGGTTCTTGAGAAAGTAAATCAAAGGCTTAGTGATTGGAGGGCAAAAGATCTCTCTTTAATGCAATCGGTATATTTGCCTCGAGAATTATGTGATAAGATGGACAAACTTTGTGGGGTGATAATGATGACCAGAAGAAGATTCATGCAGTAGCCTTGCAAGATTAATGTAAACCTCGTATGGAAAGTGGTCTTAATATTAAGAGTTCTCGGTATGAATGATTTGGTCATGATAAAAAATTGCTGGGAGATTTGCACTCAACCAAACAAGTTATGGGTTCAAATTCTCAAGGCTAAATATAAATATGCCAATGATGTTTTGCCTACTTTCTCTGTTAAACGTTAAACTTCCAATATGTGGAGATGGGTTTGTAATGTTTGGGGGTTTGGTGAAGCGGAATTTGATCTGGAGAGTTGGATATGGCACTCACGTCTTCTTTTGGTTGTATTTTTGGATCCCAAATGTGTCGATCGAGGCTGGCAAAAATTACTCTTAGTGTGTAGTTGCGAGGGAGGAAACATAGAAAGGTTGTTTCCAATTATGTGAATTCTAGTGGTGAATGGGAGCAACATGTCCATCATTGATGTTTAATTTGTTCCATTTGGGGTTGAGAAGGTTCCAATGTGCGGTTAATATAAATAGTGACGTATTAAAGAAAGAAGGAAAAGATATTTATTTTTGTATTAATTGCATTGACCTAATTGAGATCAAAGACTTGAATGTTGGAATGAGTTTCATAAGTATACTCCTTTTTCCTCTCAGACAAGTAGGACCGAAGATATTTATCTTTTCAGATAAATACAATCGAGGACAACAATAGGAAGGATTCTAGTCGATGACTTGAATAATGGAGACTTGGTAACTAAAAATTAGGAGTGCATACAGAACAATAAAATTACGCATGTACTCTTGTGTAGGTACAATACAAAAAAAAAATTACATATAAAAGTCCCATAGGACTATTTCAAAATAATAACAAGAAATATGTTACGGGATAAATATGTTAATTAAAAAAAAGAGTATTTACCATCTACAATATGTAAAATATAAATTTATAAGGAGATTCTCCCTTCATCTCAAAATGACATGATTTTAGTGTAAAAATTTTAAATATATATTGAATATATATTAAGAACAACGATAAAAAATATTATTTTTTATATAATTTTATTAAAATATTCCTTTAAATAATTTCTATTATCGATAAAAATTGATTAAAACCTACAAAAAATTTTAAATGAAATTTCTTATTCAATTTCTCTAATAATTTTGTAATTTTTAATAAATTTTAACTAAATTATTGTCACTTTTTTTTAGACTTGTCAGATAAACTCACCTCACCTTCTAAAGTTCTAACCCACGTGAAGCAAAACAAAACGGCTCACATGAGTAAAAAGTTCACTTACAAAAAAGCTTACAAAGTCAACAAGTTCACAAAAACCTAGAGTCAATCCTATAAGTTTTCTTAGGGCCAGCCCTATAAGTTTTCTTCCGTTTAATTACCTTCACATTCTTGTTGGAGCTAATAATAGCCTAAGAAATTGTCAAGGTGAAAGTAAATGACGGTGAGAAAGATAAAGAGGGATCTCACTAGCTAGAATGGTAAATACTGTCCTTTAGTGCTAACATTGTTTTCTTAAAGTTCATTAATTTTATCTTCTCTTTTGAACTACTTTGTTTCCATTTTTAACTTCACTATAAAAAAATATTACATACAAATCACAAGTACAATTTAATTTTTAGTTATTTGTTTTAGGACACTATATAAACCATGTTTATAGATAAATAAAATAAAATAAAATATTTTTAAATATAAAATTAAAAGATAAAATTTATGAAATTATACTAATTAACAAAATAATTATAAATATATTTAAAAAAGAAGAATCAGAGGATGAGTAAATGGGAGAAAATTTAAAAGCTATCAAGTATGCATTGTTAGGTAAATGGAAGCAGAGGTCGAGGGTTGAGACGACTATCATAAATCCATTACGTCTCCTACTTTTTTTTTTTTTTTTTTTTTTTTTTTTTTTTTATGTTTTCTAAGAGCATAATATTAGCATAAACTATGATTTTTAAACATCCAGTATGTTAACACATAATGAGAGAAAAAATAGTATAAATACAATATGTGATAAGACATGATAAAAAGAAATTAGAAAAGAAAAATAAGAAGATATGGTGTTTAAATAAAAATGAGTATCTAAATATCATTAATCATTGATGATTAGCAAATTGAGTGTTTAAGAAATATTTTCCATCAGATGAAGGATTTATACGTTTCATTTTGCATTTGTTTAATTTAATTTCCTTGGAAACATGCATGCAAGATAATCTGTATGGAATTAGAACCATCCATGTCAGTTTTCATCGAGATGGAAGCGGTAGTTAATTACAATGTAGTATAAGGTATATAGGTTCCCGGAGATAGATAGTCAGTATTCAGTAATAATACTATATTATAGCTAAACAAAAGTTATATAACTTTGGGGTTCTAAAGCGTGATAATTCTCCTGGACAGCGTCATTGTCATTCTTTCATGTAGGCTTTACGAAAGTTATTTGTGAAACTAACTCCATGACAGCTTTACAATTGTTTGTTGAATAAGTACCATCACTTAAAAATATAAAAAAAATTATATAGAGTGACAAATAATATATATATATATAATTATACATAATTTTAATATTAACTTTGAATGAAATTTAATAATATATATATATATATATATATAATTATTATAATTTATATTTATATTTTTTAATAATATATTAACATATATTATATAGTATAAGTAAAAATAAGTTTGAGTGACAAATAATGAGTTACTATAAGATATGTTATTAGATGACAATTTTTTTTAGTGTGAATCATATCACATCTTGGTATGAAATGATAATGATAAAAAGACGTTTAAATATTTAAATAAATTTATACTTATTATAAAGAGGATATTGAATTATGTAACTGTCTTTAGTCTTTACTTTTTAGTAGACCATTATACTTTTCGAATATTAAAAAAAAGTTTTTTATATCTTTTCTAAATAATTATTTTCAACCTTCTAATATCCTATTTATGTATAATTATAGAGATACGCAGTGTCTGAACTCCTTTAATACGAAAAATAAATTACTCTTATAGTTGGGTCTTATCTACTATTACTGTAGAACTCCTTACATAATATGAATTTATCAAGAATACTCTTTTGAGAATCAAAAATATTCTTTACTTATATTTAGTTTCCAAAGTTGGGTTTTATCTTATATATATATTATAGTGGAAACAATTATTGAATGAGATATTGCGCGAGACTCATTTCCAATTTGGTTGAAGCCATGCATAATACAGTTACGATATATACCAGCAACAAAAATAAGTTTGCAGAACAGTTGCTACTTTTTTCTTTCAAAATTAGCTTCGTGGTGAATAAAAGTGTTTGTTATATAATTAAAAAAATTATCTTTCTTTAAGAAAAATTGATTCTAAGTATGAAAGTTCTTAAATATTTTAAAAATATTCACATACATATGTACATATACATATACAAAATTATTTTTATTATCTAAACAAAATTATTTTTTATTAAAAATATTATGAAAGGTTGGTTTTACTCAATGTCTCTATCTTTTGTAATTAAATTTCTTTTAAATTGTTTAGGGTTTTAATTTTTTTTTTTTAATTAAATTTTAATATCCACAGTAAACGATTGATGAATAATTTTTTATTATGTAATTTAACTATATTAATTAATAATTTAAGATATCAAATAATATATTACTAAAATAACTATAATTTTTTCATACGTGCAGTTATATAATTTATTAAAACTATATTTTCAATTATTCTGTTTATCACCTGATTAATTCTTTTAAAATATTTTTAAGAAGTTGCAATTTTTTAAAAATAAATTATTTTTAAGGCCATGATATTTTTGGCTTTATTTTTAACAAAACATATTTTCCAATGTCTTCAAGCTTGTCACGTTGCTTACAAATCGCAAACTCAATTTTAAATTATTCTCTAATATTTTTGTCACTTTAATTAACTCTTACATTAATAAATTATGAAAATCATAGTAAACACTATATCTTATTCAACTGTCAAAAAAAACTCTGAAGCAACCGAATATGTCCTTGATGTAGTAGTGACAAATATATAAATGAAGAACCAAATATAATTGTTTTCCAATCTTTGCCGATGGTCTCGCTCGATCAACAGCCTTGTGATTAAAACATCATCAATTTTCAATTTCAATTATGCAGTCTACCTAGCCCCCACGGTGGTGGCTCACAATAAGATATTCTGAAGTTAAATTCTATTCTATATAACTTAAGTTTTGCTCCTCTCTTCATTATTTTATATATCTTATTTCACTTTTTTTTTCTTCCTATATATCTCTCTTAAATTGCAAAATTTATTATAAAAAATATTTTGAAAATAGAATTTATCCCTTCTATAAAAGTGATGTTGGCATCATCAGAGCAGAGGGAGATAGTAGTATAATAGAGAAGAGATAGAAAATAATAAACAAGATTAATAATTAAAAAAAAGTTAAAAATAGAGAAATGTGTCAGGTAAATAAATAAAAAATATGTAAGAAATTCATGATTGTAAATTTTAAGCGCGAGATGTAAGTTAATTTTAACATTAAAATAATGAATAATAGAGTGTTATTTTAAAATCCATTATATATTTAAAGCATAAATTATTAATAATACACTATTTTAGTAGAAATTTCAACACACCTGTTAATGTTAAGTAGGATTAAAGAAAAATTATGATACGATACAAATTTCATTTTTTATTTAATGAATCTTATTTATGTTTAAACAAGTTTTAACATATTTAAATTAATAATAAAATATTGTGTCATAGTGTTGATACTTGATAGCATTACTACAAGGAAAATGATGGAACGTCCATTTCATTTTAGGATGGTTTAATGGGGTAGATAAAAAGGACATGAAAATAAAAGAAAAGGGATGAAAAAAAATGCGAAATATGATAAATTATGCGATAAAAAAAGAAAGAGAAAGGTGAAAATGAATCAGAAAAGAAAACAAATGTATATATATCCTTAGCTTATGCTGTAGTTTAGTTGACACTAGGCGGCATTGAATGAGAGTAGTTGTTTGATCATCATGGTCGGTGGGCTTCATTTAACTAACTGCTCTGACATTTGGTCACTAAACCATTATAAATTAAGTTTCCACACATTTGGAATATCAACCTTAAATGTCTTAGGTGGTTCAATAGTGTTGGTCTTATAGTATGGATCCAATTGCCAAAAGGTAATTACGGAGACTGATTTCTTAATTTCTTATTAACATACGTGTTTAGAGAAACTAATCCCTCATAAATCATAATAATCTTGCAGTTGCAGGCTTGAAGGCAAAGTGGCGATAATAACGGGAGGAGCCAGCGGTATTGGTGCCGCCACCGCCAAACTGTTTGTCGAACACGGCGCCAAGGTAATCATCGGTGACGTGCAAGACGAGTTAGGGCACTCCCTCTGCAAAAGCCTCGGCGCAAACACACCCATTCACTACGTCCATTGCGACGTAACCAGCGACTCCGACGTCGAAAACTTGGTCGATGTGGCCGTCTCCAACTACGGAAACCTCCACATAATGTACAACAATGCCGGCATCTCGGGAGACCCAAACCGCTCCATAGCCACTTCTAACAACGACGCCTTCAAAAGGGTTTTCGACGTTAACGTCTACGGTGCTTTCTTGGGCGCCAAGCACGCTGCTAGGTTCGCCTCTTCACCACTCATCAACTAATCAAACTCGATCAATTAAATTTAAAATTAAGTATTTTGAATTACATATTTTATCATCTCATTAATTTAAATTTATGTTTTAGTTAGTTAATTAATATTGTAACACATTCATTATTAACATAATATATTGAGTTGATGTAACATATATATAAATGATTATAATCAATATGAGTATGACATGTCTGGAATAGATATGTCAGGTAGTGGTAAGCTAAGGAAAATAAACGGTGAATTAAAGTTTGGTTGAATCGTATTGCAAGGGTTATGATCCCGGCGAAGAGTGGGGTGATTCTCTTCACTTCGAGCGTTGCCTCGATCCTGGGGGGCCAGACGACGCATGCTTACGCGGCTTCGAAGCACGCGGTGGTGGGGCTGATGAAGAACCTGTGCGTGGAACTGGGGGAGCATGGGATCAGAGTGAATTGCGTTTGTCCAGGTGGCGTTCCCACTCCGATGCTGAACAACGCGCTGAAGATGAACAAGAAGGAGACGCAGGAAGTGCTGTGCAAGATTGCGGTGTTGAAAGGGAGTGTTCTTGAGGTGGAGGACATAGCGCGTGCGGCGCTTTATTTGTGCAGCGACGAGGCCAAGTTCGTGAGTGGAGTTAACTTGGTGTTGGACGGGGGTTACAGCACCACCAATATGTCCTTTATTTCCGCTCTCGTCAACAACAACCATGCTTGATCATCTATGATAAATAAAAAATAACTTTTAATTCCTGCTTTTTCTGCCCACTTCTATATGCTCAAATAATTAACCTACCTACATACCCTATCTAGCTATTTTCTCTGTGTTTCTGGTTTTTCCTACTCGGTCCATGAGGATGGAATAATGCTCATCACACTTTCACTCTAGTACCAGCTAAGTTTAAATGTGAGTTCTTTTGGTGTATAACTAGGGCTATTGCTCCGGTGCCCTCTTATTTGAAGGGGTTTTGGTGCCCCTCAGTACAAAAGTTGGGTTTTTAGGGGCAATAAGGTAAATTGATCAATTTATCAATTTACCTTATTATCCCTAAAAACCCAACTTTTGTACTGAGGGGCACCAAAACCCCTTCAAATAAGAGGGTACCGGAGCATTCCCCTATAACTAGTGCTCTAGTTAAATAAATTGGGAAATGATGCTGGGATATATATATCGCTCCATCCTATTTAACACTTAGAAACAGAATGTGGCGGAGAAAAAACAAACATATACTCATTATATCATAAGTAATACAAATTGTAAATTTCAATTTTATGAATGAAAAATAACTAAAAAGAAAACTTTAATAAAAATGATCGATCAAATCTTCAGACAAAAATTAATCATTGATAAATAAATAAATATTGTATATCATTAAAATGATTAAAAAAATGTTGATGATGTTGAAATATTTATGTGTAATCACATATCCAAATGAAATAGTAACATTTTTTGTCTCAAACCCAATTTTCCTTACAAAATCCGTCTCTAAATTTGTCTCTAGTTAGTGGCTAATTTTGTTTTCTTTGAAATTAAGTACAGCCACTAATTTCATTTGATTGTGAATTTACATTTCATTTAGTGTGAATTTACATTTCATTTGAGTGTGAATTTGCATTTCATTTGGTGTAAATTCTCATTTCATTTTCTTGTAACTTTTTAATTCTTCATTTCTGTACAAGGCCTTTATTAAGGAGTGTCTTGGAGTGCCTTTGGTGTATCTCCATCTCTCCTTAAGTGTTCCAAGTTGTAAAATCGTTTAGTACTTGTGAGAGGGTCCTTGGAAGTCTTTGGTGTTTTCCAAGCTCTCACCTAGGTTTAATTGCTTTCAACGCCTAGTTTATGTTTTCTTGTCTTTAAGTTTTCTTGCAATTTATGTTTAAGCAATTTATGTTTTCAGCAATTTAAGTTTTCAAGCAATTTATGTTTTCTTGCCATTTATGTTTTCAAGCACTTTATGTTTTCAAGCATTGAATAACTGTACACTTTAGGCACTTGCTTGTTATTTTTCTTTGAAAAAAATCTTTGTAAAAATTGTTTTGTGCAAGGCAAACGTACAAGGGGGTTTAGGGATTTTTACTTGAAGAGGCTTGGTTATTAAGTAGCTCTTTAGTAGCTCACCGCCCTCCAAAGTTCAATTTGTACTCTTAGACCTCTAAGTGCCAAGTCTAAGCACTTCCAAAAATACTATTTTCTTAAAAACTATTTTTGTGTGAAAAACCTTTTTGTATAAAAATGTCTCAAAATTCCTCCCATAGTGAAAGTGATGACTCTCCAAAAAGTCTTTCATACATTACTAAAGAGCTCAAATCACTTAAACTATGGAAAAAGCAAGAGGCTATTCAAAGAGAAAGAGATAAAATTGAAAGAGAAGGCCAATTTGCTTATCTTGAGGAAGAATTGAGAATTCTTAGGCAAGAAGAAGAAAAGTTGAAAGAAGATATGAAGAAACATAGGAAAAAGAGTAGGAGCTCACATTCTCAATATACATCCCCTAATGAAAGCATGAATCAAGGGGATCACTACCAACCTCCACCTAGAAGGACCATAAGGCCTAGGGAAGTCAAAGTTGACCTCCCACAATTCTTTGGAAAAGATGATGTGGAGTCATATTTAGATTGAGAGATGAAAGTTGAGCAACTCTTTGCTTGCCATAAGGTAAGTGAAGAGAGGAAAGTCCCTCTGGCTACCCTTAGCTTCCAAGGGCATGCCATGTATTCGTGGACAGCTTTAGAGAGAGAGAGACGCCTCCATAATGATCCTCCAATTCAATATTGGAATGATCTTAAAAGTGCAATGAGAAGGAGGCACATTCCCACCTATTATGGAAGGGAGCTTATGAATAAGCTCCAAAGGCTCCAACAAAGGGATATGTTTGTAGAACAGTACAGGCAACAAATAGAGCTTTACATGATGAGGGCTTGTATAAGGGAAGAGGAAGCTACAACTGTAGCTAGATTCTTAAGTGGTCTTAATTTAGAGATAAGAGACCAAGTGGAGCTACTACCCTACAGGGACCTAAATGACTTGGTCCAACTTTGTGTAAGGGTAGAACAATAAAGAATGAGAAAATCTTCCTACAAAAGAGATAGCTCCCACTCTTCATCTCTAAAAAAAGACTCCAAGAGGGAGGGAAAACCTTTTGATAAAAAGAAAAATTTTGAACCCTCCAAGAGTCTAGTTATAGAAAAAGACAAAGGAAAGGGGAAGGACACTTTACACACTAGTTCTAGGACTAGTGATATTAAATGTTTTAAGTGTCTAGGGAGAGGCCACATTGTCTCCCAATGTCCCACAAAGAAAGTGATGATCATGAGGGGACATGACATTTATAGTAGCCAAGATGAGGCTACTACTTCCTCTAGTAATAGTGGGGAAGAAGCAAGTGATGAAGAGGAAAATGTGGAGTCTACTTTTTCCTATGAAGGGGAGATCTTAATGATTAGGAGACTCCTTAACAACCAACCTAGTGGTACACAAAGGGAGAAAATTTTTCATACTAGATGCAAAGTTTTAAACAATGCATGCTCTCTCATTGTTGATAGTGGCTCATAGTGCAACTATTGTAGCACTAGGCTGGTTGAAAAGTTGGATTTAACTACTAGTCCCCATCCTAAACCTTATCAACGGATGGAATCATGCCTAGGAAGGCAAGGGGTGACACATTGAAGGAGCCAAGGGGAGTTGGCTAGACATGAAGGTTTGGGCCAGTCAAGGCCCAATGGGCCCGAAGGGCCTGGAAGGCCCAATTTGAGCTTCAAATGGGCCATTTCTTGATAAATCCATTTTTCTTATATTTTGTACATATTATATTAGTATAGGTTTCACATATTTTGATCTTGTATTTTGGACCACATAGAGTAGCATTTTTGGGCCATAGGCTTATTGGGCCTAGTTTTGGGCTTCATGGGCCTTTGGGCTTTTGGTACCCAATATTGGGCTCATTTTGTTTCTTTTATTATTTCCTAATGTTTGTATATGTTTGGCCATTGTATTTAGGCCATTAGCATAGGAATATTGAAGGAATACTAAAATAGACCAAGAAGCTAAAATCTAGGTTTCATTTAGTAGTCATTTGAGATGCATTTGGATCACATGTTTCTTGCCAAGCATGGCTGAACATGTGCAGCTCCAAATACACTTCAAATGTCCCCTAAATGACATTTAGATGCATGG